CAGTGAAAAGAGTGAAGTGAACATTGCTAGGATCAACAATTCAATTCAAGGGAAATATCCATTAAAAAAAATCTGACTTATATCACATTATAAATGGATTGATAATCACCTGATTTCACAATAGATAACAACGCCAAAAAAAATCAGTGATAATTTGTATATCGAAGTTTCGGCTTCATCAGATTTTTAGTGGACTTTATTGGTTTTTAATTATATGAACGATTGAATATTGTGCAGTAATAAAATTCCTCCATTTCAAAAGGAATGAACAATGATGCAAACAAATTGGAAATGGATTCAGTTTACGACAACCTTGTACCATCCTTAACAACAATAGAATATTAGAAAACTGAATTCGAACCAGGGTTTTTGATGAAAAGCGTTCGGGTCCAAAAGAGGTCACAACTGATATTGTTGTTGGATGATCCAAAAATGCAATTGCGTGAAATAGTAGAGATGATAGAGATATCACATAAATAATATGTATCAAATATACTTCATTATTTGAGTATAAAGTGGAATGGAAAACTGAGGTATATCTTGGCGGACGTGATAAAACGTATTATTATAAGCTGTCCAAATGTTAAAAGATCGTTGAACTCGGTGTGTCGAGCTAAAATGATATTAGGACTATATTAAAGCATAAAATATAATTTTCCAAAAGAAATGCGTTTTTCGTCCGAGAATATATATCAATCCAACAAGTATTAGCCACGAACGAAAGTATGTGTTTAAAATCTCAAGGGTAATAGAACATAAAATCGTTTAAAAATAATTCTCAGATACTATAACATCTATATCGTTCAAAAAAGTTAGATAGAAGTTAAAAGACTCAAGCAATATGATAACAATCAAAAACCAGATCTCTATATTCTCTTTAATCTTTTCTCTTAACTGATAAATAACAACTAGTTCCATTGAAATACCACAGTCTTAGAAGCACAACAGCTTGTTTCAATGATTTAGATAAAGATATCCCTTTTTCAAACCAGAAAACAACTTTATGGTTTCAAAAAAAAAAAAAAAAATAAGCACAGTCTTTATTTGCTATTTTATGGATAGTGGAGTGACGCTTTAGAAATGAAGACCCTAAGCTGGTCACTCCTTTTCTGTTGAGTGTTGGGCAGTAATGAATATATATTATATATTGTTTCTAATTTTTCTGTGATAAAACACTTATTAAGAGCAAATGTAAAAATGTGAAACATATTAATTCTCAATAATTTTTATTTATATGGCATTATAAATTAATCAGTCATGAATGAAAGTTTTGTTTTTTATTTCCCAGAACAGCAAATAAAGCTCGTTTAAAATGTATTAAAATATAAAAATCTTGTATTGCACATCACTTTGGCAAAAATAACACCTTATCTTCACATAGTGAATTATTTAACATCTGCTTTTATTTGACCAATAAGCTGGCCGTCCAACAAGAGCAACAGGACAGGGAGTAACGCAGAGTTACTTTTCGCCTGCTATGGGCAGCTGGTAAAGGATTTACGCGAAATGCCCTTAAATAGTAAAGTACAATTTTTAACTTTGTATTCCTTCCTGTATTTAATTCACTCAGAACGAACAAAGAAATCAACAGAAGTGACAACCAACCGAAGTAACCAAAAGCAACGAAATACTCACACAACATTCGCTGACATACAACTGGATCCGCAATGTAATTGGATTTATGTCCAAGTCGCGGCAGATATGGAAGCTGCAAATGCTTCAACTGAATCAGTTTGCAAGCGAACTCACATGGTGTAAACATAAAAAGCAATGCATGTAAAAATACAATAAAATAAAAAAAAAAATATTTTTTGAAAACAAAAATAAGTGCAAAAAAAAAGTGAAAAAAAAAATCAGATTATTTCATGTTGTAAGCACAAAGAAGAAATGTGCAATTTGCCAGGTGCAAAAATTAAGAACAAAGTGTGCGCAGCGTACTCAAATGTGCGAATACGAAACACATACACACATCCCTGCGCACATACATGCAAATATGTCATGCATGCACCGAAAGCATCCACGCATGAATGTACACATCTCGCTGTTCTCGTGTCCGTATGCTTAAACTGCAGTTTGGCTTGTGTACATACAAAGTTGCACATTGACTGGTGTTCCCGGTGAAATGCATTCAAACTCAATTTTATGAAATAGAACAGCAAAACATACATTTTCGTCCTCGTCTTATATTGAAAAGGGCTCAGCTCCGATAGAGTGCAAGACAGCAACGGATGTGCTGTTGCTGCAACTAGGAGAGAAGTTCGCATCGCATATTGGCGATAGGGGAGTGATGCTTACGATATGCGCTATGCGCTCGCATGGTTGACAAGGGTGAAATGGGTGGAAGAGTGTTTGTGATATAAGTTTTTAATGGAAGTACATTGCATTCTTATCATTTGTGTTGATCTGAATGCATTTTGTAGGTTTTGTGCATGATTTATGTGACTGCATATATGGAACTGTTTGCAGTTATATATCCGTTTACAATATCGGATGTTGAATGCGTGTGAATTTGCATCCGCATTTTACATGTGTATATATTTTTTTGTTTATTTTTCTTTTGTTTTTTAAATACATTTTTCAACTTCATATTGTTTTTCCCGCACGTCATGTTGTCCTTATGCATATGATTCAGGGTTTAACTACTGTTCAGTTAAGGCAATATCGGATGTAAAAAATGTTGTTATTGCTGCCACTATCGTTGTATTCCATAGAACAATCGGCACACATCGCACCATTTTGTGTTATTGTCTTATATGAAAATATTTGTTAGCTGTTAGTATATTTTTTTTTATAGTTGGTTCCCACGCTATTACTATTCTTCTAATAGAATTTAGAAAGAATTTAATTAGAAAAAATAGATGTAATATTAAAGATTAGTAATACACTTGTTGGTTATGAATTTTAGAGAAATACAAATTTTATTGATTCTGATGATAAAATTATTTGTATTAAAAAATAGTCTTGTTAAAATTTACAGACCCTAATGCTATCAATTGATTTCTTGATTGCCGAAGACAGTAGGTTTATGTGATCAGTATACACAGCAAATATGAATTTGATAATGCGCTTTCTGTTAATCCGTTACGAGTTCATCACTTACTAAAATGACCATAACAACCCTTTACCGAGCTTTGGTCTGACGCAGCATGTCTCTTCAGACGTCTTTGTTGCATGTATGCCTTCTAGTGGTTCATTCGGATGTCGTAGTCATTGAGATCCAAAGATCTAACTACAAACTTTCCTTTCGAAAACTCCCAGTACTGCTTTAACATTCTGTGATAGGTAAGATGAACATAAGTTTTGTCTGTCAAGAAAGAGCTTTATGTGCCCGGGATCTGGGCACATAATCGTCTGCTGAGCCCATAATAGCATCTGTTGACAGTGGTGATTCTTCATTTGATGTCCAGGTTGACATCGTTGTTGTTTATTAAGACAGTGGCAAGGTATATAAAATCGCTATAAGATTTGAAAGTTTGGTCGCTAGCCACCAAATCGACGTCTGAGCCACACACATTTCTAGCAAAGACAGCTGTAACTTCACGTTTGCTACGCCTAATGATGTCGATCTCGTTTGCGTGAGCAAGTAGCTGGACACTCTTATAAAATATTGTGCCATTATGATGTACACATGCCCTGCAAACGATCAGCTACATAATGAAATTAAGCAAACCACTTAGTAAGGGATCCCCTTGTGTTCAGAGAGACTCGATTCTACCTTGACTAAACTATAGATACTACTCAATGCTATTCTGCAGAGTCGTATTAACTCTATAAAAAAAACTAACTTCAGTTTATCGTTCAAACTCATAAGAGTATTACCTAACTATTGTACCTATATTAGTCATATGTTCTCTTGTAATTGTCTTTGTTGCACGAAATGAAAGTGAACTAACAGAATATTTTCACATGTGCACTTTTAAGTACAAATAAAAACAATATTCACACACATCCTTTTTGCTTTTTGCTATTCCAAATATTTTTTCAAGTAGGATAGCTGCAATCCTTATTCAATTTTAGATTAAAATTATAACAATGAAAAACTGAAATGTATATTTTTGTGTACTGTAAAAAATATTTCTCTTAGTTATGAAAAATGTTGAATTCCTAATAAAATTTAGTAAAAACACACAAACAAATATAAGTTGAGCATAAATAGTTATATGCGCTTATGGGAATGTAATGCAAAAACGTTTTGAATAAGTCAGATACTTTCATGTGATTTTACCACATTGCACTTATCTGAGAGAAATGCAACAAAATATTAAAAAAAAAAGAAAATAACAGCTGCAACAACATTACCGCACATATTCAACTGCAAATATGCGTGCCGTCATGAATATCAGAAACTATCTGGAAGCGCCAACATAAATCTATGATATGTTTTCCTTCCTATTTACAGAGCCTTTTTTCTGCAATAGTTTTTCACTAAAATTTCAATATTTTCCGCATATCACATTTTCGTTGCATACTTTCGAGCGCGTGAAATTGAATTCATGTGCGTGTGAACCAGAGGCTCCTCCGGTATAAAATTGTAGGTAGGAATGTGTGTTGAGTGTTGGTAACCCTGTGCAGTATTTGTTGTTTGAAATTTTTATTTAACATGGCGCATTTTTTATGATTTTTATTATGCCGAAGGATATTGATGATTTACTATTTGATTTTATTATACTTTACACTTTTTTTTTATTATTATTTTTTTGGTGCTTATCACGGGCAATTCTAATTTATATTCAAAAAATAAAAAAAATATGAAAATTCTGCAAATATTTGTACTGCATTTGAAAGAAAAAAATGTTAAATTGTTGCAAGAACTTTGTTGCATTGCAGCGAAATTGAATTTTATTAGCATTTCTATATATATACATATATAGGTATATATATTTTGATTTATGCTTTTATATTATTTATTTACAACCTAAAGTATTTATAGGTTGCACATTTATATATATATTTTAGCAATTTTTAATTGAAATTTTTTCTTTATTTCTTTTTTTTTTCAGACTATCAAATTCGAGTGCAGTGTTATGGCAAGTATTTCTGCAATTGATTTTTTAAATTTACAATTTTTATTGAAAATTTTTTAATTTACTACTTTTGCATCTGCAATGGATTTAGGTTTTTCATTTCGAAATTAATTTACATTGTGGAATTAGTAGAATATTTAAGCGATTTAAGTTTAATTTTGTTTATTGTCCTGAAAAAATATTTGTACTGCGCACAACACCGCGTATTTTTTCATTTATTAAATATGCTTTTGCTAGCAATATTTGAAATGCTAAATGTTTGCTCGAGGTTACTGTTCAGTATTCCTGTGTAAATATTTTAAATTCTACATGAAAAATTTCGAATTTCAATAAAAATTGTTTAATATTAATTTCATTTCACGACAATAGTAAATAAAGTGTTACACATTAATTAATTCATTTAATTATTTTAATTTAAAAGAAAGATTTATTTAATTGTAATTTAATTATTTTAAAACCAAATATTTTAAGCTGATGATGGCTTTATTTTTACAATTAAAAAAAAACACACTTTTTGCAAAATAAAATGCTGATAAATCTTATAAAGTAAATAATATTTTTATTTAATTACCATTGCAAATAATATTATTAAATGAAATTAATTGGAGATACAATCTGTGTAAAAAAATGTCAGCATCTTATACAAAAAGCTAGTTTTGATGATGAACAGAGAGGACACTGAAATAGACACGTCAACTGTATATGGATGATATATATGTTATTTTGACTACTTACGAACGAGTTATCGTTTTTCACCAGAAATATTATCATGAAAATACAGAAAAAAAACTCTTAAGTGAACACTTGTGACAGCGAACTTTTCTTCCATCCAGAGAAGTGTCCAGTCTTTAGATTAGGGTGTTCTAAAAAATGTTGCGAAAGAGCAAAGTTTTATAAAAATTGTACCTTAGGTATATAGAAATTTCTTTGTTACATAAACTATTAAAACAGTTTATACAGAATCGTTATTCTAATACGACACACGTGCTATTGTGTTGATTTTTTTTTTAGTAATTTAACATGGCAGTCAATGTAATAAATATAACAATATAAAAGAGTTAAATATAGTCACTTGAAGTACTTATTGTTAATACTTTCTGACTGAAGTATATGAAGAATATAACTCAAATAACTTTAATTTATCAGTTTTACTTATTTGCGTATGCATTTAGAAAACGAGAGCTGTTTAAACATATTGACTGCAGAGTGAATCATTTCTAATCAATTTGGGAACAAGCCATACACTTGGAAACGCCAAATTAATTTACCCAACGAACTAATTTCGTATCAAAATATGTATTTCTCTTTGTCTTACTATTACACTACATATCTCTACCATGCACATGCAGTTATTATTTGTGTTATGCGTTTCAATATAGTGAAAGAGATGTAAACTATTGGCAAATAGATTGATTTCGAATGAGTGAATGCTCGAATCATTTCAAATCTACAACTGCTTACAATTACAAACAGCGGTAGCTATTATATGTGTACAATGCTTCGCTTCTTCCATTGTTCTGTATCAGTATGTACAATACTACCAAAAATAGAGTGATATGGATGCTTCAAACCTTAAAGTGAACAAAACGAATCCGTTCGAAATATGGAACAAATGAATTGAAAGTAAAGCTTGCCACCGCTGTGAACTGTTTATTGAAAATCTATTACATATCTCGAATTGAAGGAAATTGAGTGCTTCAATTGTTATCGTGTTATTTCTGGAACCAAATTTGACATAAGGTAGTGCTCGATTTGTTATACTACCAAAGAAACTAAGCTTGCAATTGAAGATTCATACAAGTCGCTAACAAAGTTCAATGAGAAAATGGGGCAACTGACTTTAATGTTATCCTATAAAAGTAAATTTTGTATCGTCTCTGTTAAAAATACAACTTTCTCCTATATATATTACTTTGTCAAAATACTGTGCTTAACATTAAAAACAACGTTGGAACTCTCTACTCTAACCTATTTGAGTTTAACTATACTTTAGTTTAATTAACTTTCTAATAAAAAGTCATTTAAAATTTTACTCAACAGCCCGTAAATGTTTGTCATTACCGAATTACAAATTTTACATTTTAATTTGTAAATAATTTCTTTTGGGTTTTATTTGGTTCAACGCAATAATTAAGATACAAACTAAGCGCATTTTACAAAATATATTCTCGCAACGCTTAAGTGTTTTGTCCTAATCCATTTACATTACCGAATGAACGAAAACAAGACAATCACTGTATATACTTTCTCTAATTTAGTCCCTAACTGCATTGGAGTAAATGGCAAATTTAAATACGGAAATGACGATTGAATAACGGATAATGAAAACAGCAACAAACTAAATTAGGTTTTTGAGCTAAGTGCACTTAAGTGCTGAAAACAAGTAGAAAAATGCACGATTAAAGCACTACTTTACTCTACTTCGCTACTTTCACGATTTCAAAGATACATCGACCAAACTAAGCTCTTCAGCCTTGTTAACTCTAGCCGTAGCGTACGTTAAGGAACATCTTGTACTGCAGTTGATAAATAAAATAAAATTTTGTAAATTTTTAAATGTACGAAGAATATATGCTTTTGTTCATTTCATTCTGGTGTTGTTTCGCTGAAATGTAATAAAATCTGCAACCATAAAATTAAACAGAAATTATACGAAAATTTGAGTTTCCTTTTAAAATCCGTCGGAGGTTCCCGCGGCAACACAGAGCGAGCGTGTAGCATATAAAAGCTAATAAACATGCAAAAAAGTGTTACGAAAAAATATATATAACCAAGTAAACAATTTTGTTTTTTTTTTGGTACTTAAATGATGAATAAAAAGATGAAAAAAAAATTCAACTTCAAAGATACTTTTTTAAATTGAATTTTTGTTTTTTTTTATTGAAGTTCCTATATGCATTTTGTAATTCTTGAGGTTTCTTTTTTTTTTTTTTAAGAGTTTCATTATTTATTTTTCTGTTACTGACGTAGCAAAAAAGTTCAAAATACTCTGGCAAGTTAAGTGTTTCATGCCGTTGTATAATTTGTTTCATAAAAAGTTCTTTAAAAAAATCATCAGCAAAAATATCTGAAGTAACCGAAACCGAAGAAGTAGAAAATTTTGATGTAGAACAGATGAAACAGCACGACTCAACATTAAAAACAAACTGGGAAAAAATGCAATGTGCGCACAAATGCGAGTATCTATAAGATTGAAACTGAAGTGCTCAAGTGTTGACTTCACGCATTGTGTTAGCCAATTAGGGTCAATAAATTCAATGAAGTTAATTTTGATTGCAACTTAAAAAAAAAATCAAAAGTGAACATCTAATGTCTTCATCTATGTTGCAGGCATCCGTAGGTGCATCTGTTGCTTTGTGTGTGTGTTTTGGTTTTATATAGTATATCGTATAGAATACACCAAAGGGAGTAAAAAATTGGTTCAATTCATGTGGGAGTTGTGGTGATTAATTGATTTTCTTCAAGTTTTTTTTTTCAATTACTTTATTAACTGTACTATGCACCTGTTGTTGATGGAAGTATTTTCTTTACATAAGCATATTTTGTTCCAAATTTATCTTGTTTTGAAAAAACTCTGTTATACAAAAGGAATACAGATATATTTCTATGTTGCTTTACTTTTGATTAAGTAAGAAGTGCACTTTTCGTAAATGAAAATTCAACAAATGCATTTAGTTTTCATGTACTGCTTCATTTTTGAAGCCTTACATAAAGTGATATAATATTCATAAAAAAATATATATAATGTAGTCGAATTGTGCAGCAATTTTTTGAAAAACCCCGAAATAAAAGTGAAAAACAGTAGTATTTTTTTTTATTTCAAATTAAATATTAATAAACGAGTCGAGAAAATATTGAAAATTACCTTTTAGATATGTAAAAGCTTATATGAATAGTTAAAGATATAATTAATTAAAATTTGTTTATAAATATCAATATTTCATTAGCATAACAACGCTATAACCGATTTCAAATCGTGGCCTCATTCAATAAGTTTTAATCCATTTAACCAGGCGTCCTGATCTCTCATCCTTCTGGCTTTGCTACCGCTTATCATCAAATCTATCAAAAAAAATTTTTCTAACAGAATCCTCTTAACTCATACGAGCTACATGATCCATCCACTGAAATCTAAAGAGCTTTATTTTTTTGATTCATTTTATTTGAAGTTAGATCACGTACAGTGTTAATACCGTCTATGGAATCTTCACTAAAATTAAATGTTTATGTTGAACTCTGTCGCTGAATCGGTTGAAAATCTATACAATCTGCACCCGTACATTAAAGAGGACTTTGTTAAGCATAACCACACCTTTATATTTTTTAAACTTGTCCTTATTCTGCAAAATACCCCCATATCGAGAAGTATAGGGGCTTGTATGACCGAGAAAACAAAGTTACTCTGTAGTCTAACAAGAGCTTGCAACATTGGTTCACAGTTACTTGGGTTTGTGACGATGTTGAAACGTGTACTCTGTTCTATTTAGCTTAATTTGTTTTTATAGAATATTGATAAAATCACTTTTAAAACTCATCCCGCTTTAATTTCTGCTCGAAACAGCACGCTCGAAATAGAACACGGTTTCGAAATGTTCGAAATAGACCACGGTTTCGAAATGCTCGAAATAGAACACTGTTCCAAAATGCTCGAAATAAAACACTGTTTCGTAATGTTCGAATCAGCACGCTGTTTCGTAATGCTCGAAACATAACGCTGTTTCGAAATGTTCGAAATAGAACATGATTTCGAAATGCTCGAAACAGAACGCTGTTCCGAAATGCTCGAAATAAAACGCTGCTTCGAAATGCTCGAAACAGAACGCTGTTTCGTAATGCTCGAAACAAAACGCTGTTTCGAAATGCTCGAAACAGAAGCTGTTTGGTAAAGCTCGAAAGAGGGCGCTGTTTCAAAACTGCTCTGTATGTTCAGCCAAATTTCAATATATTATCTAAAATTCTTGTTGTTATCTTTTCATTTCTATTCGAACCCTTCTAAATAGTTT